GAATAGTACGACGAACGATATAAGATGTATAATTTATCCTCGCTTACTCATGATCCCGAAACAACTACTAACTTAAAGACTAACCTTTCCTCTTTAGAATGGTAGAAATCTTCTAGAAGACATACTGGTGGAGGTCATCAAATTCCCTGAGGAGACAAAACTCGAAATTGAGATGAAAATACTCCCTAGAATCTTGACATATTATAAACCAATGCACATAAGCAGATTTGCGAGGATACGCATAATCCTAGAAAGGAATGAATAATTGGTCATTCAGGCAGGTAAAGGAGGAGCGATAGTTGTAATGGACAGAAAACAATATACCAAGAAAATGGAATGTATACTGCAAGACAGGACTATTTATCGTGAACTAAAGGACCAAACTATGAAGATCAATGGAACCTTACGGGGCATGCTAAAATATATGAATATGAATAGAGGGATCAATGGATGGACAATAAATTCACTAATGAAAAAGGATTCGCGATCAGCAACAGCCTACGGGTTGCCGAAGATACACAAAAATGGCAACCATTAGGGCTGATAGTCAGCAACAGGTATGGAGAATCACACAAACTGGCAAAGTCTATGTCTGACACTCAAGTAGACAAACGAAGGTGGCAAACACAGTGAAGCATTTATATGAATTTTCTCAATGGATCAAAAAGATGACAATGGAAGCAACAGAATTATTGGTATATTGTAATTTACAATCTACATACACAAACATCTTTAGAGAAAAGGCGCTAACGGCCCTGCTGGATAGCTTGGATCAAAAGAAGGATATCCTAGAGGCAGAGAGCATCAGCAAGTTGTTAGCATGACTAATCAACTTGACAATAAATACTATCTACTTCACATTCAATGGCAGCATGTATTAACAGACATTTGGACTTCCTATGGGATCACTGCAAATATATACATAAACAAGTTAGAAGAGAATTTCAAAATGTCACCGCTACAACCAAGAGTTCTTATGTGGTATCTGAAAGACCACCTTGCAATTTGGTCGTATTGAGGAAAAAAATTGGAAAATTTTCTAAAGATTATGAGCCGGATTGATGAAATAATCAAATTCGCAATGTATATAGAGGAAGAGGGGCGTTTAGCTTTCCTATATGAAGGTGATTCGCCCTACTGAGACACTCAAGAGGAAATTTTTCCGTAAGAAGTTATATTCCAGAATAATATTCAACTTCAAGTCTCAAAACAACTACAAGATGAAAAAAGGAACACCGAGGAGCATGATCATCGGGAGACTACGATTAACGGAAGTTGAATTCTGGCATAAGGAATTTTAAAAGTTGACTCGGATATTCCTCAGCAACGGATACCCGAGAAGTAATTATAAAGAAAAAACAGGCCGTGAAGAGTCGAAAGAAAAATAAAGATGGGGAAAGACTCAGAAAAGTAGATGTCTCGATTCCTGCGAGCTAGCTCAAGACTACAGCCAATATTAAGAAAATGGAATATTCAGGTGACAATGAAGGAAAAAAACGCTCTTTATAAGTCTACCCACGGAAATGAAAGGGTAGACAAATTGGATTGCTCGGGAGTTTACTGCATAGTAGGTGGCGCCTGCTAACAGAAATATATTGGCAAAATTTGGAGAAAAATCTGCATACGAATCAATGGACATCAAGGGCTCTGCAGAAAAATGGATACTGAAAGATCGGGTATAGCGGAAACCATCGCACAGAATGGACACGAGATCAATTGGAAGGCAGTAAAAAGAAGGGCATCATACGGGGAAAGCACAAAGATTAGGAAGGCCATCGACATCCTTGGGGGAAAATATTTAATGATCAAAAAATTGGAAGAAGCCAGAGTTGGTGATAACTTTGCCTATTGCCTAGCCAAACTCGGAGAAAACAAGGATACAACAAAATAAACAAAATGTAGACGCCTGGATCAAGTATCTATCGTAAAACAGAGGAAAAGGGGTCGTGAGGAAGAAGAGAATGAGGAAGTTTCGGTAATCAGGTGAAGACGTTATCAATGAGTGTGGTCTGCCCGAACAAACAAATGCAATCTTAGAGGCCTGACGAAACCGTTACTAATGAGGCGGATAGCCTCAACCGTCACAAAAATACGGCCCTATAGCTAATTAGACCAGAAGTCCACTCGAGTAGTAGCAGGCTACCAGAGACAGAAGTGCATAGTTTGCTCAGTGTGCGCGGGTTTAATCAAGGAGATGATGCTTATAGACAATGCATAATATCCGCAAGCATGGGACTAAGAGCCTAGACGCTATTCAAGTGAGGCGAAGTTTTACGTTCCATAGTAAATTCGCCGGAAGAGTTCATCTCTTGTAGAATATAAACATGTCAGAAGTCGTGATAGGATGAGGGCGAGACAAGAGGGTAGGAGATGGATAGAGGAGCCATGACAAAGAGAGGAGTGATGGCACAACCGTTTCGGTAGAAAGTTGGTCAAGACCATTTCATGCGTCTGTCTGGCGAGTTATAGTTTGGTGCTGAGAATGACAAGACTCACTGACGATGCCGGCGAAGCGTCTAGGAATGTGCCAAGTCCACGGCCCGAATCTGGAAATTAGCATGCATACTATGGATTCCATACAAGGTGCCAATATGACCAAGTTGCGAAAACAAGGTCAAATGACTACAAGTCAGTTATGCTCATACAAACTATTTACACGATTATGTACTAAGTCATAAAATATTCTGTAGTTTCCCTGGTTTTATCAAGCTCTATAAAATATTTGATATAATGTATGTGCGGGAAATATAAAATCTTAGACCATATTTGAGCTTATAACTTTTTTTCCCTTGCTTCTAATATATAAAAATAGTTCAGACCTAGCATAAAAAACAAAATGTTTGGAGACAAGAACCAACCTGACTAATTCAGTCAATGGCCCTTCTTAGGCTGTCTCAGAAGCTCGAGGACCGAGCAGTTGGAGAAGTCGCTCTGTCTCAAGAGTCTCCTCAGTCATTAGTGCATTGACAAGGCAATCTAATCGAGTTCGATTGGCTTTTAACAGATCAACCGCCCGATAGAAAGCAGTAGAAACTAGCCCATTGGCCTCCGCATCAATGATCTCTTGGGTCCACTGGCTGTAGGGACGAACACTAGAATATTCATTATTCGCATCCACCTGAACAGAAAAGACCAATTGATTTTTTTATTACTTAAAGAAATAAAAAGCACCCAAAATGTATATGTGTAAAAGGAGCACAAGATCTAAACAATTAATTAAAGCCTTACCTAACTATGGCGAAACTTTTTAAATGAAATATTAAACAGCTAGACCTGTTTGACAAAGTGTAACGAATGTTAATTTATTCTCCCTAGACTACCTATAGACGGAGAATAAAGTTTTTGCAACAATAATATGATTAGGCCTCAATATGCCCTTAAATCTCATTTAAATTTCCGTTTCAAGAGGTATTCTCATTCAGGATGTACTACAAGTCTGAACTCCCCTAAGTCTCCTCAGCACCCCCGGCTGGATTCAAAACAGGGTCGTGTGTATAGTGGCAGCACATTTCAATTCCGCCACGCAGCCACGGAAGTCAGTTGATCAAAGAGATAATATGACTTTCAAGGCCAGCCAAGCCTTCTAAAAATCCCATTTAAAGTGGGAAGTTCAATGAATAACAATTATTTTCCGTTAAAATCGACGATATTATCTATGGTTTGAAACTATCAATAGGTCTTGAAGAATATTCATAAATAATATCATCGATTGTAATGGCAACTAAATGCTTACTACAGTTCATAGCCAATTATAGTACGAATTAGAGTGAAAATTGTGGTTTATATATGTAGATACAATTGAAGAGAGGAAAATAAACATAACACTCACCTCAAAGCTAAGATTTCCAAGCGTCTTAGACATACCCCATTCACGGACCTGTCGGAAGGCAAGTTTGGTGGCCTGCTTAAGACTGCGGTGTGAAACTGGTTTCGGATAAGAAAGTAATTAAGTAGAATAGCATTGGCAAAGCCAACAAGCCATAAATTATAGTTAAAGTCTACAAATATTTTGAATTAAAGTAGTAGAGCATTTATTTTCTAATATATATTAAGCTTCTTCTCTTCTGAATAATATTTGGTCCTAAGAAAGCGCCGATTCAACATAGATGTATTTAAAATCCGATCGTCACTTAATTACACCAAAAGTGCTTTAGAAGCCATAATATTTTGGCTAAATACGTCTTAAGGGTGCAGCGATTCGAAATCAGAGACCTTAAATGAGAACTTTTCAATCTGGACTTAAAAGATTAGATTCTGAGGTAATAAGGCCCAACTAGGAAAGGTTTACAAGGGATGGTATAAAAAAGAGTGAAGAAAAGTAGTGAATTGGGTTTTCAAGTAAACGAATTTAAAATCGGTATAAGAATCTAGCATTATTAAAAGTAGCGGATTTGGGAAGACCATATTTCGCGACTAACATCTAGATTTGTCTAACAGGCAATTCATAAAATTAGGGTACAAATTGACACATCGGCCCGCACAAAAATGGCGTCAGCTTTTCTCAATGGACTTTAATTATTATAAGTTGTTTGACCTTGTTTTCGCAACTTGGTCACAATGGTAGGAAGACTTAGAAGAATGCACCTAGTCGGGATTCTATAGTATGAATGATAATTTCGAGTCTGACCGTGCACATGGTACATTCCCAGACGTTTCGCCGGCATTGTAATAGGCATCGTCAGTGAGCCTTGCCAGTCGTAGCACCATACTGCAACTTGTCAGAGAGAAGTGAAGCCGATCCTTCTTCCCTGGGCTATTCACAAATCTAATATCCTCGTATCACCCCTTCACCTCACAATTTTTAATTGCTTACTTAAATGTGGTATGGTGTGCCTTTTTGAGCAGATTCCATGAGAACTCTGCACATCCCACGCAGGCTTTCACACCCTCTCGGGTAGCACAAATAGGATGGCATAAGTCGAGTGAAATACGTGAACCAGGGAGATAGCAGACGGATCCTACGGGGCAAGAGAGAGGCTCTGATTAGACCTATATGAGAAGGACCGCGGAACAATATGGCAGACACTGATCAACATTCCCATCACAAGAGTAA